CTTAAAATCTGCTGGAACCAAAGAGAGGCATGCTAACCCAAAGAGCTGTAGACTCACCTGAGAGCCAAAGGGGTCAGTGAGTCTTGTTTCTCTGCCCTGTCTCCACGAGCGAAGCCCAGTGTTTCACCAAGGACCTCATTGGTAGCCTCCTTGAGTATTCCTTTAGGGAAGCTACAAGCATTTACCTCATCCCCTTTTACAGGCCTCCTGACACCTGGGGTTTCTCTCCCTCTTCCAATATTTCCTGGAGGATGTTGGAGCCCAGGGCTAAACTTCCCCATGTCCCAATTAACTGGACTCTGCTTAGCCACCTTATTCTGCAGGCCCCAGGCCACTAAGTCTAAGTTAGATGATTCCCTACTATTTTTCTTTTCAGATTCAGATCCTTAAATCTTGTCATTCTCCACCCTCCAGTTCTAAGCCAAGCTACCATCTAATCACCTGATCAGATTCCCCTTGGTCCCCACACCTTCCAGAAACTTGTCTAGATTTGACCTGTCCTATTCAGATTTGATTTGACTAGCTAATATTTATTAAGCCCATTTTACATGTCAGCCACTAGTCATTACTTCATAAACTTCAGCCTCAGAACAACACTAGGGAGCTGATATCGATATCCCTACTTTACAGATGAAGAAACTGAGGTTGGGAGTGATTAACTGATTTATTCAATATAGAAAATTTCAAAACTGAGACTAATCCATTGGTGTAACCCAAAAATCAGAGCTTAACTACTTTACCAAACTGCCTCCCACAGGCTGTCCAATCTTCCCTCTTATTGGCTCATGTCTCTGTTCCCTTGTCCCCATTTCCTCTCCATTTTCCTTAAGTCAGACTCCATACAATGCACAGGGAATGTCGGGGGGTCTCCAGTTTGTCTCCTCACCTCCCAACCACCGGGGGTGTCCCGGAGGTGGCGCAGCACTGTGGTGAGGAGCCGGCCTCGGGCACGGGACAGACCTGGCTGTGAATCCCAGCATCTTCACTCATCTGCTTCTGTGATCTCAGGGCAACTCACTTAACCTCTTTCAGTCTAAGTTTCCTCATGTGAAAAATGGAAATTATGACAGCATATGTATCAAAAGAGTTTCCTTTTATCAGTATTTAATGCAATAACGTAGGTCAAGTCCTTTGCATAGCACCTGGCACTTAGTAAAGGCTCAATACATGTTAACTATTGTTGTATCATTCTCCCCATAAGGAGACTTCCGCATGTTTCCCCCTTTACTGATGCCATTTACCATGATGGGCGCTCAGAACCCTCCTCAACCTGGCCCTGAGTTTTGTCTTCATCTCTTTGTCTCCTAACTCTCTAGCCCACCAGTCTGCCCTGTATCCTTACCTCTCAGTGGGATATAGGGGCAAAGTGCGTGCTCTGGGGTCAGGCAGGCCTGGCTCTGAGCCCAGTCTTGCCCTTCAGTAGCCCTGTGAGCTTTCAGTAGGTTCCTTAACATCTCTGGGCCTCAGTTTTCTCACCTACCAAAATAAGAATGAGGGTTACTCTTGGGAAAAGTGTTATACTAACACCTTACAGGTGTTTAACCCTCTCATCTACGCTGTTAATCGAATTCCTGCCCCAGGGGCCCTGCCGGTCTTCCCATGGGAGCCTCCTTCCCACAAGAAAGATTGTCCTGCTCCTCTACCTTCTTTTAGATTCTGCTTGTGGATTCCTACATTGCTTTGTATCTGCAATAGTACTGAGACCTTTGTTTATACAGCTCTTTAAAGCTTTCATGGTTCTTTCCCAAACCAGCCCAATTAATTTGCACGACTTTGGGAGATAGTCCTGCCTAGTAATGATTATCTATATTTTTAAAAGGTAAAACTGAGGTTCTGAGAGACTGAATGATTCATGATCATGAATGGAGGCCTGGAGCCAAAATCTTCTAGCTCTTCACCAATGCTTCTCTCCCTGTACCATCCTGCACCTGAGTGACTGCCACTTACCTGAAGTCATTGTCCTTTCTAGTGTCGTTGATTGTTTTTCCATGGGACGGGCACCTGCCTTGTCCCCCTAGGGAGGATATAGTCTGGTCCCTCTTCCTAGTCTGGGCCTTGCGGATATGTGGTTGATGTCATTCAGTGTGTTGAAATTTAAATTACTGTGGTATGTTGCAAGACTGCTCTAGGAAACTAACAACTGTATTGACAAGAAGGCTGAACTGGTATGATGGCACTTTATTCAAGAGTGAAAAAGCACAGACTCCACTCTTGAGGCATTTGCTCCTCTGTACTCATACCTTTGGACTTTGATTCCCTGGACTTGGGGAATTTGAAGTTAGCTGCTCCATCCCCTCTGCTCTATGTTCCTGTTTCTATAATAACCCTGACCTTGCCGGATTGTAAGTAATCTGCTTACCCATCTATCTCCCCACTCCCAGACTGTGAGGCCCTCCTGTCAGTGTCCAGGGCCTGCCGCTGTGCTTGGCACATAGTTAATGAAAGTTGAGTGAATGAGCCAGAAAGACCCATCTGGGTCCATCTGCTAACCCTGATAATTGTGCTTATTGTTATTCACTTATCTTATTCTGTATTATTCAAGTCTTTTATTTCCTATACTGAATGAAAGGCAGGTTTCATGTTTTGCTCATTTTTGTAGCCTCCCTAACAACCAGGAGAGGAGGAAATTATAATTGATTGTCTACTGTGTGCCCATAGTGGTTTCACATATCTCATTTTTTTAAATTGAATTTAATTCTTATAATAGGTCAATTAGGTAGGCATTATCATCCTTGAATTAAAAAGGAGGAAGCTGAGACTCAGGGAAATGAGGTCATTGGAATCTGACCAAGTTTATGCAGCTATCCGTGGCAATGCTAAGATTTGAATCCTGGTCACTGGCTCTAAGACCAGTGCCCTTTTTTTGTTGCTGTTTGGTGTTTGCTTTTTAACAGCCTGCAGATTAGCTGTGTGTGGTAGCCCAATAGGTGTCAGGAACTCCACTGAACTGAGACTTCAATTTAATCACCCTGAATGGAATCTGTGCAGGCCTGCTCCCAGACGCTTTAAGCACATTCATTGCCGCCTTCCCATTTGATTGGATGAAACGCTTCAGGAAACATGAGCCAAGCACTCAAAGTATCAGACACAGTGCTGGACCCTGGGGAAACAGCGCCAAAGTCAGGCCCCCTCAAGGAGCTTGCGGTGGGAAAACGGACATGAAATCATGATCATAAATGTGATCTGTGCAATGGGGAGACAGAAGACAAGGGCTTAGGTCAGTCTGGGGTGACCTGGGAGGCTTCTGGATAAACCATGAGGGAGGAATAGGAGTTGGTCAAGTCAAGCAGGAGGAGAGCAAAGCGGGAACGGTACATGCAAAACCCTGAGGTGCAGAATTGTAGGAAGGTTGAGTCTGGAAAAAGGAGGCATTTAGGTGGAATAGGGCTGGGGGAGCAAGAGATGCTGAAGCTGCTCGCCTGTTCTCACATCGTGAACAAAGGTTACAACTGGCTTCCAGCCCTTGACCCTGCATAAGCAGCCTTCATGCCTCAGGTGAGACTAGGACATCCTCCCCACTCAGGTAACGAGGTAGAGAAATAGCTGGCAGCATCTCCATCTGTCTTCTCTAGGAACATGATGGACAGACACAGAGTTTGCATTTCCCTGATGTGTAGGAAATAATGAGCAAGCAATTGGGCAGACCCACATGGTGATGTCATCTGCCAGGGGTGGAGCATGGCTTTGCAGGAGGGTGACTTTGTGCCCATGCCCTGATGTGCCCCTGGAGAAGAGGGCCCTGGGGTAGCAGGTGGCAGATGCCAACAGAATCAGGCCTTGTTCAGACTCATTTTCTTACGTGGAGTGGAGACTTCTGCCCACGCTGGGCCACCAGGTAGTAAATTGTGTCAGTGTGTCAGTGGGTCTGCCCAGTTCAAGTTCTCCTCTTCGCTATGCCTGACTATGTCCTTGAAGTTGAGACTTTATAAACCAACCAAAGAATGACTGAGAACTGGCCCAGCTTTATAATGAGTTATATGCAATTTAGCCAGTAATGAATCTGTACACGTCTAAATGCTTCATGTGCAAAAACAAAAGCAGTGTGGTTCCTCTCCTTCCTCTTTCCGGGACTTTGAAAAGTCTTCAGGAACTTCTGTCTTGGTCCTGCCCAGATCTTATTCTGTTCTCTCCCACGCCATCCATCGGTTCCCTCCTGCATCCCACTGCAGTCGCCATCCCACATGATCCTCACCAAACCACTGTGTGCTGTCACTTCCGCATATACAAACTGCCCCTCCTCTCCTTGAGTGTGGCTATCCTGCCTGCCCCTCATCCTGGGAAAGCCAGCTGAACACAACTCTGCTTATTCCCGGGAACTGCCAAGGCCCCACTCACTCCCTTTACCTTTTGCTCTTTGCTTACCTCCCCACCAGCTCTGCACTCCCATTGTGGTCCCTCTAATGCATTCTTCACCCTGCTGCCTGGATGATTTATCTAAAATTCAAATGTATTCATGTCATTCCCCTGCTCAGAACCCTTCAGGGGTTTCAGACCCTTTCAAATGACATCCAAACTCCTGAGGCATTTAGAACAAGACCCTTCATGAGCAGGCTCCTTCCTACCTCCCTGGCATCATTTCTGCCCTCTCCCCTTGTGACACAGCAATGCTAAATTACTTAGGGCTCCCCAAACACAAAATGTTATTTAATGTTTCTGAGCCTGCCAGAAATAGCCTTTCCTCTCTATTCTGTCTTAGAAATCTAATCAGCCTTTCAAATTCTCTCCAACTCTCCCCTTCTCTGAAACCCTCCCAGAAAGCAGTCATCATCCTGGGCTGCCTCTGTAGGCATCTACAATAGCCCTGTCTGCATATTCCCAAGACTGACTTGCTTATAGGGACTGTCTTAGTCATCTCTGGATAGCACAGGGCCCAATGCAGAGTAGGTGTTTAGCCAGCGCTGGTTGAATCATTGTCCAATTGCACGTCTTCCCCATCATTCAAGGGAGTTGGGTTTCAGCGACAGCCACACTGATACCTGCATGCTGATTGGCTTTCCCAGGTCGGGCCAATCACTGGTCTGCGATCATTGGCGGATCCCACTCCAAGAATTATGTGCTGTGGGAGTACGGAGGATATGCAAGCGAAGGTGTCAAGCAAGTTGCCGAACTGGGCTCACCCGTGAAAATGGAGGAAGAAATTCGGCAACAGGTAAGAAAAGCAATTGCAGAATGCATCCCTTAGCTTTCTTTCCCAGGAACTTGAAATTTATGATACAATGTGTTGGAAAAATCAGTATCGTAAGAAGCAAAATCTCTTTTCTGACTTTGGGGGATTTATGTCAAGTTGAGGACAGAGGCACAAATGTCCTCCTCATTGTGTCAGATTTTCCCTGAGCACATTTGCGTTTTCTTCGGTCTGTGCTGAGAGGTGTTGCTGTGGCTGCGTGGTCGGGCTGTGGTGTCTCTGGCCTCCTGAGAGTTGATGCAGTGGATTGTGGTTTTCTTGCTGTGATCCCTGAGAGGGCCAGAGGAGTGACATTCAAGTTGTCTAAGCCAATGTCCAAAAATAAATGTTTGTGTATCAGTGCATGCTTTGTCAACTGTATCTTGAGGTATTTGATAAATTAGTTGGCTGTTAGTCATAACCATTATAAACAGAAGCATCTCTTATGTACCACGTACCCTGTGGGCCCCGGAGCTGTACATCAGCTAGGCCCTCTCATACCACTGGGAGATAGGGAAGAAATAGCCCTTCACTCTTTTTTGATTTGACTAACAGTGCCATCATCCCTCATTAAAAGCACTCAAAAGAGGCTGGTGAGAGTCTTGGAAGAAGAACTGCAGCTTTTCTATGGCCGTTCACAGGATGTGCTGTGGTGAGGTGACGGCCCAGTTCTGGCCTTCACTACCCATAAGAGCCCTTCAGGCCTAAGATCATTCGCTGGGCAGCTATGTCTCACTGCCCACAGGTGCTCAGGGGGAGTCAGGAACTATGTGCAGAATGTGATCCTTTCAAAATCCAGGTTCCTGCAAGGCTGTCCCCCATCTCCTGTGACAATGCAGGAGGTTCCAGAGACACAATGTGCACGTGCGCAGGGCCTGGGAAGCACAGGTTGGCGTAGCTGAGGCCCCTAGTGCTTCTGCATGAAGCCTTCCATCTGGACTGCAAGCTGCCCACAAACCCTAAGTTAAATGTGACAATGGTCATTCTGCCTCCTTCTATAATCCCCTGAGGATTCCCCTTGGACCAAAGTCAAAAAATGCCCAGGAATTAGCTTATGTTCCACATTAATTTGATTTAAAGTCTTTTCTCCACTCTTGGAAAAAAAATGTTTAACTAGATGTTTTAAGATGGCATGTTATGCATCACAAGTGTATCCAACCAACCACTTAGTATTTCTCTGACTCTGGCCGCCATGCCGCCTAACCGGCCCCACTCGTTCAGACCGCAGCCCAGCCATGTACATAGGAAAAGGCATGGCAGGCTCCAGATTGGTCCTAGTTGGCCTGGCCTGTCATGGGGGGAGTCCCTCGTTCTGGGGGTCCTGAGGGTCCATGTTCCTGGTTCTCAGGCATGGAATTGGGATATACTGGTTTGTCAGATTTTGTTGTGTGGTTTGTTGAAAACATTTGTTACAAACAGTAGTTGAAATACTGAAGCTTGCAAATAAATTAGATCAAGGTCAAGGACCTCTTCATAATAAAGCCAGTCTCACTTGTTGGCTTTCTAGAGAGATTTCTGGAGAGAAGAAAAACATGCATGAATCATAAGGAACTGAGACTATGTTGTGGTCTGTCATGTGTCATAGTATTAAAAAAGGTTGACAGCTGATGGACAGACCCCCAACTTTAGAACGTCCCCCTTAGGAAAAGGCTCTTTATTTGGTGTATTCCTAACCAGCACACATAGATTCGCTTCTGTGCCACACAGTCTGCCTATCCCAGGCAGCTAGTGCTGCTGACAAAAGTCGTAAGTTTAACTCTGGGTCCTGCACATGGGAGTTGAAAATCCCAGTGAGCATGTCTCAGGGTCCATCACTGTCTTTCAAGCCCCTGATGCTAGACATCTACCTTTAGGTCTCATTCTAGTGTAAGAGGAAAATATTATTATCCCAGTCTTACAGATAAGGAAACTGAGGCACAGTCAACAGCTAGAGAATACCAGAATTTGAACCCAACTCTGGTTCCAAAGCTTATACATAGCAGCAGATATCAAATTTGTAGGGCCTGGTACAAATATGGGGCCCCTTGTTCAAAACTGGTTAATTTCAAGATGTTGACACAGTCAATTTCACAGCATGGGACCCTGGGAGTCTGCAGGTCACACACCCACGAATCTGACCCTGCCTGTGCACCTTCCCTGCCCCACAGAGCTGCTCTGCGGAGAAACTCCTCCCTGTTGCCATAGTTCTGCTTAGCAACACATGGAGCTCCCAGGTCCTTGGGAAGGCAGTTGGGTGGAGTGATTTCAGGGTCCCTTCACTTCCAAACAGTTTAATATTGTTACACAAACACATAATTTATTGTATTTTCCTGTAAGTCAGGTAAGAACAACATAAAAAGGAGCAAGAATGTGGATCCTCCTAGAATATAAAAGTATCCTCTTAAGTAGCTGGGAACTTGTTTGAACACATCCACAAACTAACACAGTTTTCATCCTTTAATACCTTATATTCTACCAATCACTCTATCAGAGAACCGAAGCCCAACCAGTATGAAAAAGAAAAAAAACCTCTTTCCCCAAGAAAGACATTTATATGCTTACTAGCATTTGCTCATTTGCAAGTTTCAAGGGCATTAAAAATTGCAGCGGATATCATTCAAGGTAAATCTTATGCTAATGGCTTTCAAACACAAATGAACCAAAATAACAACACCATCAGTCATGGGAATTTGTAATAATATTATTAAGTATAAATTTTAATGTTAGTATAACTGCAAAAAACACCAAGAAAATTAATGAAAAATTACAGCAGCATTATGGCTATAATGACACTGATAGCCAGAGAGAGTTGGGGAATAGGACAAGCACACTTTTTAGCAAGGAGACAGAGGTAAATGTGTCGCGGCGGCCAGTGTGGACTGTGGATTAGCAATACTGAGTTAAGGCTAGCCTGGCAATTCACAAACGAATAACCTAATGCAGGTGGAGGAATTAGGAAATGGTGGATCACACTTGTAGGTGGACCTGGGAACTGCTAGTGAGCTGCTATATACTCATTGTTATAAAAACATTAAGACCATTTCTACTTTATCAAGGACATAGTTATGGCATGTGTACTAGGTATTTGGTTCTCTGCTGGATGTGGCCCAAGGATAGTGCCCCATTAACCATGTTATTTATGCTAGAAACCTAGACATCATTCTTGATTGTGTCCCCTGCCCCTACTTCTGCCTTCTCTCCTAAATTCACTCCCTCATCACCACTGCCCCATCTAAGCCATCCTCATTTCTTGCCTATATTATTGCACTAGCCTACTGATCTCCTTGCCTCCAATCCTCTTATTATTATCCACACTGCTCTAAAGCCACCATGTAAAACACAAATTGGATCATGTCACTTCCCCGATTAAGATGTTTGATGGCTCCTAATAGATCCTAGGACAAAGTCCAAGCTCCTTATCAATGTTTGGAAACCCCCATGTCTTACTTTTCTCATATTATTTCTTGCTGCAGCTCTAAGTTTTGCCCATGCAGAATCTCTTCTGGTCTCCCCAGAGAGATGCCCCTCTTGCATCTGGGCCTTCTCTCAGCCTGGAACATCTTCCAGCTACCCTTCAACTGGTGAACCACTATTTATCCTTCAGGACTCAGCTTAAATTTTGCTTCTCTCTGAAAGCCTCCCCAGTTCTGTGCAAAATCAGTGCCTTTGCTGTGCTCCCACAGCACCCTGTATCTCCCTTAGCATTATCATCGTCACATTTACTCTACGTCCTTATTTACTGTCTCTTCCTCACTAAACAGCCAAGTTCAGATCTGTGCTTTCCATCACTGTATCCTCTGAGCTGTGTATCGTGTTAGTTACTTCATAAATATTTCTTGACTATAGCAATTTATTCATTCAATACCTCTACTGAGTATGTCCTAAATGCCAGACATCAGAGATTTAACAGTGATCAGACCATTTCCTGCTTTCATGAACACATATATATTCTAACAGGGGAGACAGGGAAAATGTTAGTTAAATAATTATAGACCATTGTCTTGCCAATGTGTTTCAGCCCCAGACAAGTTCACTAAGTATTCAGTGTGACCAAAGAAATGACAGTAGAACGTTCTTGGAGTGAAAGGGTTATACCCAACTTTATTCCCATGGTGGCAGGTCAATTACTAGAATCCCGTCCACTCAGAGCGAGTTTGCACGCAGCAAGCCGGTCTGTGCCTCTGAGCTCCTTGGCCCCCCATCCATCCCAGTCTCTGTCCTCGGCGCTGCCACCACTCCTGTCTGGTCCCTGCTCTCCTGCAGCCTTGAAGCAGTGCCATCATTTGCCCAGAGCACAGGATGGAGCTCTTTATGTAGAGTCAGTATTGCCCACACGTGTGTAGTGAGCTGGCCGATCACGGTCAGGTGAGAACCCTGGCCACAGACACCTTCACTTTATCCACAATCATGGAAGTGAAAAGAAAGCAACAGGGGTGATGTAGAAAGCAGTGGGAGTGACCTTTTAGATAAGGTGGTCAGGGAAGGTCTCCTGAGGAGTTATCAGTAGGCTGAGACCCAAAGGAAAAGCATAAGGAAAAATCATTCTTACGCTTGAAGAACTAAGCAAAGGCTAATGTGGCAAGAGGAGTGGGGGGTGGGGCATGGCGCACGTGAGACTGGAAAGTTGAATGAAGAATCACTTTACATCCATTCGGGAGAAAGTCACAGATTGGGTGGGAGAGGCAGAAACAAAGAGCTATTTCTGTATAATGCACTTAGTGTCTTCAGGAGCGTCTCTACATCACCTGAGGGAATGCAGACATGGGGCTGTGGCAGTTTTTGATGAGCCATTTTCTGAATCACTCATGTTTTAACATCCCCTGTACCCTATAGTCAGGGACACATGTCAGTACCTGTGTCACTTTCTCTGGGGAGGCTTGGTCTGGAGCCCCTTCTCTGGGCTTCCCTAGCTCCCAGCATGGTCCCTGTCCCAGACTGAATCACCCCTGCTTATTTCCTCATCTGTCCCACAAGCAAGCTCTGTGTCCCTTGCAGGCAGGCACTTG